AGCGTTTGATCAAAGGTTATTCCAAGGTTTTTGATAGAGGGACTAAATTTGATGGGATTATCATGTAGGAATAGAGTTTGTATATGAGGAACAGTTTTAAGGAGGTGATTGGAGCCAATTAAGATTGTCTTTGTTTTTTCCGCATTCAACTTCAACTTTTGGCTCTCGCCCAGTCACAAACTTATCCAAGTCTTCTTGAAGTTTTTCTGTAGCTGATAATAGGTCGGTGGGCGGGAAGGACAGGTATATTTGGAAATCATCTGCATAGATGTGGTATTGGGAGTGACGGATCAGGAGGGGAAGGTCATTGATGTAGATAGCAAACAGAGTAGGAGAGAGAGAGGAACCTTGAGGGACACCACAGGAGAGAGGGAGGGTCTTGTATGGAAGTTGACCTGGGACGACTACAAAATATAATGTTTGATATTTCAGATTTATTGTTCATTATCACTTCTCATCTACAGTTTATGTATACATAACACTTTTACTAATATTAATGGAATACTTTTGTAATGATATAGGATAAATAAAGCTGTCCGTAAAATAAAATTTAGTATACAGTTTTAATCAAATAATTTAATTTTAATAAATTATCTTCTTATGGGTATCTGGGTCAAAAGCTCTCCTTGATTGCAATAATGCTCATCTATAACAAACAATATATAATCATCATTAATATATAACTTATATTATATCAGTGATGTTTTTTGAGGCTGATTGCCGTCATGTTTCGAGGTCCTTTAAATTAAAAAAAAAGGAGGGGGGTGACTTACAACTGAGTTTCAAGGCCATTGTGATCTGTTCTATAAAAAATAAATTAAGGTTAATGTTATCCTAATGAGTAACAATTATTTTATAGGGGTCTGGATGGATGGGCCGATTTCATCATTAAATCAAAACCCACATGACAGTGACTTTTGGCCAAGAAAATTTAAGAGATTTATGGTTTCTAAGCGTCGTTCTGTATGTTAATTTTTTATTATTAAAATATATAATAATATTACAGCTATTTATAATTTCAAATATTTTTATTTTTTTTTATTTTAGGATGAACCCCTTTCTCAGTTAAACTCCCCTTATGATTTTCCTGAGGGTGTACCTTTGCAGCGACGTTTTATTTTATAAATATGAGGTATTTTAATTATATAAAAAAAAATTATAATAAATAATTATTTGTTCCTATTAATGGAAAGTTATTCTTGTTTCAGGCCTATTGCAAAACAGCTCTATGAATATATTTTATTAAATACACATTTATATATTTAGGGTAAACATTAAAACGTTGCCTAATTTAATACCTGTTATCCAAAAATTTTTAAATGTTTTAAAGAATTTATTAAAATGAGAAGAATTATTGTTACCTATCAAAATAGATTATATATGTACCTTCCTAATGTATTCAAAAATATAGGTTAGTTATTGGATGTAATATGTTTTTAACATTAAACTTTTAAATTTTAAGCATCGCATATTTATCTTACAAGTTATTAATTTTCAACCTTCTGATATACATTATATTTGTTATAGGTAATATGTGTATACAGAAAACTACAAAGATCAATTCTGACAATGTTCCTATTTTCAAGGGTTTTGTACGAAATTAAACTTTAATGTTTTTCTTTTCTTTTAACTATATATAAAATATATAGTAAGAGAATGTATTGTGATCGTGAAAATTTCATGAATGAATTTAGAAAATGAAATATACATTTTGAGGTCCACTGAGTAAAATAATTAAGTTTTGAAAAATGGTGTTTGCATGGATGTATTTGTGTCTGTCATGCATTTAAGGTATGTATATGCTAGAAATGTTATAGAAACTTTTTCCTTAAACATAACTTACCAGAAGTGGTATTTTATATTATCTAATATTTACATATTTTCTTGAAAATTATTAAGAATATTGATCAAATTCATTATATAAATGTAAAATCGAGAGGTCTTAAATATCAGGTAGGTATTATCTTCATTGAAATGGGTGGATACATAACTATCCATAGATATCCATTTTCTCGACAACAATACATCATGGAGGAAAAGTTGTTAATCAATGTCTTGAAAATATAAACATTTCACATCTGCCCCTTCCCATATTGTATCCAGATCTCAATCTCTTTGAGCGTATGTGGAATGCACTAGAGAGTAGGCTTTTTGTCCATTATCTGCAGCTGCTTAATCTTCAGCAACTGAGAGCAGTATTACCATGTTTATGGTATGAAATTCTTTGTGAAATCAGTGACATTATAAACAGTATGCCTAATAGTTGCAGAGAGGTAGTGAATAACAGACGATATTTCACAAATTATTAAATTTTACAAAATTCTTACAATTCACAATCATGAAACAAGATCACAAAAATTTTAAATTTTATTATTCTTTTAAAACACTTTTTTTTTAATTTCGCAAGGTCAAATAGGATCTTATTCTTATCAATTTTCAATGTATTTTATAATAAAAATTCTAGGGAAAATAAATCACTCATAACTAACAATATCCCTATTAGTCAAGTCAATTAATGATTAAAGAAGGAAATGGCGGTGACACAATTTTTGACTTTGGGACATTGTTTGGACTAGTAAGGAGGTAAACATATTAAAAGTCCCCACTCCTAGGTGGAGGGGCACGTAGAAAGTTACTTTCGGGTTTTCGCTTATATCTGGAAAACTATCCATCGCATTGATAAAGATGTTCTATACAAAATTAAAGCTGATAAAATTTGCAATGTGACTGATCATATATCTTTTTTCGATACCTTGCTTAGTTTCTGAGATATCCATCCTCAAGTACAGTTAATTTTGAAAAAAAAAAAAATTATATTTATAGCTATTTTTCGGATTTCGCTTATATTAGGAAAACTATCCATCGAAACTATACAAAATTAAAGCTGTTAAAATTTGCAAAATGATTGATTATATACTTTTTATCGTGCTCTCATTTAATTTCCGAGATGTCCGTCCTTAACTATGGCTAATATGGCAAAAAAAAATTATTTCAAAGTCAGCCATAGTTGAGGACGGATATCTCAGAAACTAAGCGAGTTAGAGAAAAAAGATATATAACCAATCATATTGCAACTATTATCAGCTTTAATTTTGTATAGAACATCTTTGTCGATGCAATGGATTGTTTTCCTGATATAAGCAAAAACTTGAAAAAAATAAACTTCTAGGCTCCCTCCATATTTGGCTCTCCACCTAGGAGGGGGGACTTTTAGTGTGTTTACCTCCTTACTAGTCCAAACGTCCCAAAGTCAAAAATTGAGTTCCAGCCATTTCCTTCTATAATCATTCATTGACTGGACTTTATCCATTTTTTAGCGGTTTAGATAGAATTACCAAAATATAAGTAAAACTAATTTTTTTTTCAGCTTAGTAAACCAATATATATATATATATATATATATATATATATATATATATATATATATATATATATATATATATATATATATATATATATAATACTGAATTGTCATCTGTATTAATCGTCTTAATTTTATGTTTATATTTAAACAAAAATAGTTTATTGACTTTCTAAAAACCTAATTTCTACTGAAAGTAAGGTAAATGAAAGTTGTGAGATGCATCAGATTTTCTGTTGTTTTTTTTTGTTACTATTTTTGGAAAATAACATAATACTTTAAGTATTATAACTTGGGATTACTTGGTGTAAATAGGAGATTATTTTAACCGATAAATGTTTTAAATTCTTCCAATAGGAGCAGTCGGAATAAGAGGTGGTCTCTTGAGAAAGGTTTATCTCCCATCCGCATTAAATCTTTTCTCTATTTTATTACAGGTCAGAATATAAGGTAGGAGAGGAAGCTTCTATTGGGTGGTAATATCCTGTTCCAAAGAAATTTGTAATGTTAGAGGGAGAAAAGTTTTCCTCAAGGTCACCTGCTTGTCTACTATAAGTTCTATTATGAAGATTTAGAAATAGTTTACAACCTCTCCGACAATTAGTGCTACTAGTTAAGTCCTGAAACATTTTATCATGTTCCTGCTAATTTTTCTGTTTGTATTCAAATATCTTCAAGTTATGGTACAACGTAAAGCAGCTTATTGAACACAAGTTTAGGGAAAAAAATCTAGTTATTCATTTTTGAAGCATATATTCTGAAATAGTGCATTATTTAACATAGGAAATGATAATTTTTATAACTAAGACGATAAGGGTGTTTGCATACAAAAGGTGTTTACAACCTCTCCGACAATTAGTGCTACTAGTTAAGTCCTGAAACATTTTATCATGTTCCTGCTAATTTTTCTGTTTGTATTCAAATATCTTCAAGTTATGGTACAACGTAAAGCAGCTTATTGAACACAAGTTTAGGGAAAAAAATCTAGTTATTCATTTTTGAAGCATATATTCTGAAATAGTGCATTATTTAACATAGGAAATGATAATTTTTATAACTAAGACGATAAGGGTGTTTGCATACAAAAGAGCTTTTTCATATATAGCATTTTTTCCTTGATATACATTTTGTCTGTTAATATTAATGATGTATCATAATTTATTTTATTAAAATCTGAATGCTAATATTAATATTGTGGTGACTGACTTTACAAATTTTGATCAAGCCTTTCCTATATTAAGTGAATGAGGATGTTATTGAATACAGGCAGATCTTATAATTTTTGTCTTATGAAAAAAGTATTAAAAGTATTATTGTTTGTGTAATTAAATTTAATAGGACTTCAAAAATCACTTAAATATCATCTCGTATAGGTAGTTAGTTTCTTTATTTTTCTTCCAAAGTAATTATTATTATAAATTAAAAAAAAATCTCTCGGGCTGAAACCTCTCCTAAATGAAATCCTGGATCCACTTGTGTTTATGAATACTTACACTTACTCCACAGGGATAAAAAAGTGACATTTAAAGAATGTTTCGATCGATTTTTCAGGTACTGTTAGAGAAATATTTTTATTATAATTAAATATACATTATTCAGAAAACCTGATTTCTTCAAAACTTAAAAGATACATAAAATTCCAACTTCTTATAACCTATGCACTACTTCTTCTTCTGATTTGCTTTAAATTCGCCCACAATCGTAAAGTTGAATAATACAAAACTTCAACGAAGCTTAGGACGCTCACTCCATAAAAAAGACCGAGTAAGCCGCCGACGTTTGCTGGAACAAAAATAGCATGTAATTAATTATAAGCTATTATAATAATAATTTAATGTGTGTGAAAGAAAGTTCACCAAGTATACCTAGAAAATCGACTATTCCATAAAGCTCGTTCCTGTGACTTGTAGTAAACTGTAAATCTTTGAAGAAAATAGAAACTCGGGAAGCATCATATCTGTAAACATGTACAATTTTAATTTTAAGAAGCTTAAGTGTAGCTCAGTTATTGGGCACTAAGCTTTCAATGCTCAAGGTCTCAGGTTCGATTCACACCTCATGGCAGAAAAATTATTTATTCTGTTTCATTGGCCCTGGGATAGGGAGACCCTCCTGAGGCACACCCAGCCTCTACAAAGTGGATACCCTTAATTAAATAATTAATTAAGAGGAAAAACCTGGCGGTTGAGCGTGATCTTGGCCCGATCCTCTCTCTGCACAACGGCTAGCCCTGAAATAGTACTGAACCCAATACCCTTCATGAGCTGTAGTGGTACAGGTTTTTTTTTTTTTTAAAGTGTTTTTTAAATTAAAAGAAGGTTACAACCTTATAAGTAGCTGTTTCACTTTGATAGATGGGCATAACATCTTATGATCACACATTTAGGGCCTTAACCTCAACTGAAAAGGGTCTGGAGTGAAAGTTAAAAGCAGCATTATAATCAAAACTTACTAAGGACTACCATTTTAACTAAAAATAAAAAAATTGAAAAGGGCCAGTTCAGGGGAAGTCAAAATCGTGATCTAAATTACACTCTTGGATATGTTGTTAATATACGACTATTATTTTACAATATGTAGAAGTTTTGGGGCTGTCGTTATATTTAAAAGTGGAATAAATGTTAAAGGGATGATAGGTTTACCGGCTAACACATGCTAAGCAACAGGGGTGCCCCTCTCCTCCCAAAATATTTTATTGCTCACTATTTCTTAAAAACAAAGCAAGCTAAGATAGAATTTAAAAAATCGTAGATCATATACAATTACTTTTGGTGCGGTCTTTTCCATGTTTTTTCTGCTTGTACCTTAGTCCGAAAATTCATAACTCCGCCAAAAATTTGTCCCCTCAAAAATCCGTCAAAATATGCCTCCCTGAAAAATTTTGATTGTGCAACTTGCGCCATGAAACGTACTTCTGGACACCCTGCTCAGCGATTATACTCCGCGGCGATACAGAGGTCTGGGTCTTTTGCTTTTTCAGCGAGAGGTTCCTCTTAAAAGTAATAGAGAGAGAATCACTTTATTATCATAAAAGGGTGCTGCCCAATTACATTGGGTTGCTTTAAACACAGCATACTTATTAATCCCTACAGACAATTTACCAAAACTAATATACAATTATATAGTATTAACAACATGTATGAGCATAATATACAATTTTTTTTTTATCATAATTTTTTTTCCTATATTTTTATTTTTTTTTATTTTTTTTTACTATTTCTTTCATTCATTTATTAGCATTATACATCCCTTTCTGTTCCTTCTCTCACTCTATACATTTTTCACGTTCTCTAGATTTTCTCCTCTCCTTTCCTAACCTAATTCATAACATGCATACAAATACATAAAGTGCAGTGGACGTGGTCAATTAATAATGTAAAAATACTGTAAAACACGCATGCCTCCCCCATGAACAAACTCTCTATCCATGCAAATGGTGATGGATAATTACCAGGGAGTCGAGGATTATATTCTCCGCCAACCTTGCCACGTCCTTTACGTCGACACCAAGGCCCTCCCTGAAGCTCCTTGTTGAGTCTGGTATCGTTCCGCGAGCTCCGAACCAAAGCTCTCTCAAGTGGAACTCTCTCGGCCCGAAACTCTCGCGGAACTTTTCACTAATACTTATAAATGCATTTATAAAATGAATGAAATCAAAACATTTTGAGGGAAGTTAACTTTTTGAATTTTTCGGCGGAGTATGTTACATAGGTAAATTTAAAGGGTTTCGACTTTAGCCAAGTTTTATTTAAACTGGTACATTAGTTTACGCGCTAGTCTATATTAACACAGGTTTTTCGGCCGCCATCTTGAAAGAAAAGGGCGAATGATAATGTCGAAGTAGGAGGCACATTGTCTGATGTCCTCTGACTTTGATTCCAAATCTCAATAAAATCGATTCTGTAGTTTCGGAGAAAAACTTTTTATTCGATTTTTGAGCTCAACATATCGTCAAACATAAAACTACAAATTTTAAAGGGGTGAGGTCAACTTTTTGAATTTTTGGTCCAATACAATGGTTCATTATTAAAAATAATAATAACCAATAATATAACACATAACCAAAATATATAATTAATAGAAGATCTTGTTTGCTCAACCTAATAACATTATTTTTAAACTCTACATCTGGGAAATACATTTCTATTTATTAATCACTCATTTCTTTTATATTTACTTCATAAGATTAGATATAATAAATATCCAAATTCCTTACGGTTCGAACGCCACTGTGTCTTCATTATAAGCCTCAAGAACAGCATGAAAATTGAATTCTGCTTGTGTGGTTTCTCTATCATACAAAATGGATGTACAAGCTGGCAGGCAATCACAACTTCCCATTGTTTCACTTTTATAAGCGACATCTACTTCGCTTATACGAAGTCTATCTGTAAACAGAAATATTTTAATGTCTAATGAATACTTTATCAGTATGTGTATTAAATATATTTTAGAAAACCATACATTGGGCATCAACCATACATTTTTTCTTTCTTGGACCACAAAATCTCATTCCTTCTTTTCCTAAAACAAAATTGATATTTTTTAAATCGACATTGTTAAAGTAAAAATTCACAGCATAAATGAAGGGAACGTTCCCAGAAATGGGCGCTTAGTGCCAAGGGTCTCTGGCGTGGCTCACATAAATATTTTTTTGGCGGATCGATTTTTATAACTTTCTTATTTGTTATAGTTTTATAAAAATCGACCGTGATTAATTGGTTTACAAAGGGAGAACTCTCGTGACACTAAGTTGAAACTAACATTTTGATTTTTCCCTAACCCTTCTACCCTACTTAAAAGTTTTTTTTTTCCTCTTTATTTTTTAATTCACAACTGTCAATGTCCACTGACAACCAGTGAATGAGATAACTGTACAAATAGACTAGGAGAAAGGGCATGATAGGCATGAGGAAGAGAAAAAAAACCCCAGTCGTTTATCTTCAGTCATGTTTGTGGTTAATTAAGGAAATCTCTCATTCAACTCCTTTTCAGCCTTCTGCGGATGTTATCGGGCATGTTTTTATTGGCCATGTCTTGAATGAGTCTATTGGGGTGACGATAGAGCTTGATGTGAAACCTTTTGTAATAAGTTTGTATATGTTCTGTGACGGTTTGCATGTGTAAGTCTTTGTGAAGAGTTATGTTACTAACATACCAAGGTGCTTGAGTAACTTACAAAGTATAGTTCTCAAAACTAGGAAATTGGTTAGTAAATGGATCAAAATTGGATAAATTACGTTTCCAAGATTTCGACAAAACGTGTCGAACAAAGCATTTCAAGGCCCAAAAATGCACCGTTTTAAGACTAAGTGTTATTCATTCCAAAAGCCTGCTTGTGCTACTAGCCCAAGAGCCTGGATCTAAGAAGGGTACTCATTGCAGGTGAAGGTTTGAATATAAATTACGAAAGCGTATGTTATTCTAAGTAAAATGAACGCTAATAATGAATCAAAAAGATATAATAATTTTATTCATTTGAACTGATGCATATCCACTAAATTAGAAATAAAATTATTTACCTTTTTAGATAAAGCTCAACAACTTAAAAATAAAATAAACTTAGCCTCCGCTCAAAGAGAACTACTTTCTCTAATGCCATCTCAGTTTTCTGTAAAAACAGCACTATATAACCTCAACCTTATTAAACCCGTTAAAACAGAAGAAGTTATCCCAGAAGAACTGATCTTTGGCTCTTGTAGCGATTGCTGAACATTATCATAGCCCTCCGTGGATTCATGTGTACACCGATGGGTCTTCCGAACAGACATCACACAATGGAGGGGAGGGTGCATACAACTGTTTACTATTTCGAAACCTGTTGGAAATGGGCCTCTAATATTGACAGCGATATAAGAACAACTTCAAGCCTTGTTACACTTAGATATCAAAAATATCGTATTGATTGTGAATTCGAAGACGACTATCCTCGCTGTGTCACTGCCCAATAAATACCTTACTCAGGATATTCTGAAATGCCCAAAGATAATAGAGGAACTACTTCTTCAAGAAACAGAGGTATTCTTTCAATGGATACCAAGTCACTGTGGTCTCCATAGCAAAGAAATGGTTAATAAACTCACCAAGGAAGAGTCCACATTGAACCAGCCAGAAAATCGAATATCATATCATAAAGCCAGAAAAGAAATAAATAAGAAAAATGATCTACTATTGGAATACATAAAGAGCAGTATTGTGGAAAAGCAACGGAGAAAAGTGCTCAAGGAAGCAGATCGAGTTCCCATAAATCTGCCGAGAAAGGAATCTGTGACAGAGTTACTTGTATGATAACAGGCCAAGACTATTATTATGGCGGAAGGCGATAAAGAGAGGCATAATGAAAAATGAAATACAATCAACATAATATAAACAAATGACTACTTACTTGGCATATGAAGAGCGACGCAACCACATTCCAAATAAGTGTAATTTGTGAGACATTCTATTTCACAGTTAGGTTGATTATAAACCTTGAAGTAGGATAAATATCTCTCCGATGGAAAGTAGCAATGCCTCTCTTGTGGTGAATATGATATTAAGTTTTTACTAGTCGTCATTATGTTTGGTTGTACCATAATAACTACCTAGACAGATAATATTATACATGAATATTTGTATTAATTTATAGTAATTGTAGGATTTAATAGTATAATGTATTATATATTTTATTGTTTATTTATTATAAATTTTATTGGTTATTTATTATATATTTTGTTTGAAGAGGAGATTAAGGTTAGGCTGAAGGCGGACAAGATTAGGCTCTTGTCACAGAACTTATATGGTGTCTTAAAGGAATAAATAGGCCCATATATTTTCAACAATTTTTTATTATATTTCTGGCAACGTTTCGAGCTGATTTGATCATTACCAAGTCATAATATTAAAAGTAAACAAAGATAATATACAACTATGGTTGATCATTATCTAGTAATGAAACAATAGTACAAAATACTGAAAAATACTACTGAAGTAGCTAAATATGCTATTTTTCATTTGTGAAACTACTTAGCTCGCGGCTGTGTCCTGAAAGTTAAAAGCTAGAATATATAAAACTCTTATCTTACCTACAGTTATTTATGGATGCGAAACGTGGTCGCTTACATTAAGGAATGAGCAACGTCTTAAGGTTTTTTAAAATGAAGTATTGCGCAGAATATTCGAACCGAAGAAGGATGAGTTAACCGGAGAGTTCACAAGGTTACACAACGCCAAATTGTATCCGGTTAATATTATTGAGATGATTACATCGCAGCGAATCAAATATGTTTGTAACGAAAGAATTCCTAAGAGCTTATTATTTGCTGTACCGAATGGTAGATGTCCGAGAGGTAGAACGAAACGAAGGTGAGAGGATTGGGTTAAAGCCGATCTGAAGGAATTGGGTATGGACGGTGAACGGTGGAGGGAAGTATGCAATAAGCGATTGGTGGTGTCGGCATCGAACCTTCGGGTTCGCTAAGAATTTTATTATTATATTATTTTGTATACTTTACTCTAGGGCACCCGGACTCATTTGTTTTATTTCCTCCTCCTCACAGACTATACCCGAGTCTCCTGTAGAGGGATTTAGTCCTGGTAAGTGCCCTCCACCCCCATGATGTGAAGATGCAGGAAATGGAGATGCTACGTCGGGACTCCAGGAACTAATGGAAGATCGTCAGGGAGGAGTCAATCAAAGAGTGGAACAAATTTTTTTTTTAAAGTAGATTGTTTTCTTTTCGATCTTGCTCTTTTATAGTCTTAGAAATATTGAGAGGTGACCCCTCGAAATATTTTCTCCTCTCATTGCTAAATCGCTTATAGTATCTCTCTGAATGTAGTATAGCTTATATTTTTATCAAATTTAAGAATTTATGTGCCACGATTGGCTCTCAACCTAATTTGATTTGTCACTTCACATTTTTCCAAGCATATAGTAATATATGCCTGCCATTCATTTACAATTTTTTGCTTAGTATACGGAAAATATCTGTTTTGGAAATTTTAAAATTAATTCTCAAGACTTTGGTAATGTCTGGAGCAATTTAATCTGCACTTTCATTTTCGTGTTCACATGTTATGGTGCCCACTGAAATGAAAATTTATTGCTCGATGTGGCAATTAAATAAAGAATTTTATACAAATGTAAATGGCAATTGGCGTACTGTGTGCATTTCTTAGACATTGGTAAACAGAGGCTGAATCTGTGAGAACTTCAATATAACATTTTTTTAATAGAGGTTAGTATGTTCTGCAGCCTTAAAAGCAATAAGAATTTTTGCATGGAAAATATTGAAATTGTTTACGATAGAATAAGACAGATTTATCTTTTTTACGGGTAAAAAACGTCTACTGATAATGTTATTGGTCAGATAACATGTATGTGCTCTTAGAAGCATAAATATAAATTTTAATATGGTTAGAGTATCCATCAGCTATTTCACAGAGTATATGATGTTTTAGCATATATTTAGATAAGACTTAATCATTATTATGAATTGAAAAACATCCACACTGAAACAGCTGTTTGTGACCAACGGCTGTATTATTTAAATATATTTTCTCAAACTTTGATAATTATTCATACTTACTTCTTGAAGTAATGGTATTCTTAAATAACGCATTCCAACCACTGGATATTCAGCTGGGTTGTGAATAAGCACCTAAAATAGATCAACATAGTTTCTTACAATTTTATTTTATTTTCATTATATATATATATATATATATATATATATATATATATATATATATATATATATGTAAATATATAATGAAAATAAATAAGGTGGGTTGATATTTTTTATTAATCTCGTCATAGTTAATAAGTGTTACTTTTGAAACAAATTTATAAAGCTGTCGTCCTTTGGTGTTGGTGAGCTGCCTGTTGCCATTGTGTGTTCAAATTATTAATAGCATCTGCCAAAATGAATTTTTTTAATATGGAATTGAGGGGTTTTATCACAGGTTGTAGGAAGGAGACTGTTAATCCATTCAAGTTAAACTTTTACATCCAGATCATGCAGATTTAAGATATTTTGCCGAATTGTTTCAGTCCATACAATTATTGTATCAAATAGAACTATTTATACAGATTTTCAAATATTTTTATTTTACCTTAAATCCTTCCACTGGTCCTTTGCAATAGTGATCAGCATCTTCGCGAATCGCTCCTGGTACGATAAAAATACCTCCATAACTTCCAGAATGCAAAGCCCTGCGAGGATACGAGTCCACAAACGCTTCTGTTGTATAACCTCCATCTTGGGACCAACCGGTAACCCGCAGATCTTCACTGTCGTCGTCACTTTTAAGTTCTGATAAACTAAACAGAAATGGATGGGAAACAATTTTTAAAAATAATTTTATAAAATAGATTGCTTTATATCTTCGGCACCACGTTAAACATGGTGCTGACAATATTTGTAAAGTTGTAACAATGTTGTAGTGGTGTAGGGAAAGAGTTTGCCTATTTAAGCAAAGAGTATTTTATGAGCCAGCTTGCTTTAGTTGTTGCCTTTGAGAATTCGTGTTGCAGAATGGGTCGAAAGCATCTCGTAGCTGGCTTAAATTAATTTTTATTCTTTAGATCTTATCTGATCTGTTTTCTCTATTCGCGGCAACGCGAAAATCGTGTGTTACAGCTTTTACACAAAATATATCCACCACCGTGAAATATCTCATTTCACAAACGAACAAAAAAAAAAAAACTCATAGATTGGTAATTACCAGGCAAGGCATAAACGAGAGAAAAAAAATCTTGGTTTACAATAAAGAAATATATTTTAATTCATATCTTCCATAAAACTCGTTATCATTTGGTTTTCCACACTATTTCTTCCTTTTATCCTTTCTTATACATCACATTAAAATACAATTTTGATTAATAGCCCATTTCAGAAAGAATGAATTGCTGAAAAATTTTCTTACGTATGCAGGTCCGATTTTTAGTTTTTGAGATATTTTAATCTATATACATCCGAGATCTGAAGGTTCAATCTAATCCATTCCCCACAAAAAAAAAGCGCCTAAACAAGTTTTCAATAAAAAAAGTTTTGTTTGGTTGTTGTCTTCCTGAAAAATGAAGGCCTGTAGTTTGACAAAACGTCGGCACAATTTTTTATTTGTTTATTGTTTTTTTTTTATAGTTTATTGTTAATGCTTAAAACCTCAACTATATTATATGATGCAGTACACATTATGATTCCAAAGAAATATTAATAAAGTTGTTTGTTTTATTCAATTATTCATTGAACCAAGTAATAATGATTTAAAACCACAATACAATTATTTATTTATAAATATTTCTTACACATCATCACGGAAGAGGTCCTGTTTATCGAGTATATTAAAACTATAACATATCCCTTCGTCTGTGAGTAGTTTTCTGAAAATTCGGCTACAGTTTTGGCTATGTTTATTAGCCCACTTGCATGCCATGATAGTGTCGTTGTATATTGGAGCGACCTAAAGAAAAAAAAAAGTGGATTAGTAAATCTTCAATCTGTAAAAGAAAAACGTATAAAATAAAATAAAATGTTATGGTATTATTGAAAGAATGGAGTGCGATAGCTCTGTGAGTGACGAAGGCGGGTAATTTCTTTTAATACAGCAGCTGTGAATCGATATTGGGGTCGAAAAACCTTTCTGGTGCTTACCCAGAGCTGAAAAGTCGGTACTCTTAATTAAATAATTAATTAAGGGAGGGAAAGAGGAATCTGAAATAACAGTGTTCAATAAACGTAAGCAGAGATAGAACGCAATATGTAAAGCTCTGTAATAATTTTATTACCTTTAAATTGTAATAATAATCAGCGTTAACGCAATCTTCCCACCTTCGCTTTGGTCTATCCCTCAGACGCTTGCTAGTAAGTATTAGTAGTTAGTACAGCGCATACTAACATTTTAGGAATTCTTTCGTTACTAAGCCCAGCGATTTGACATGCCCATTTTATTCGCCTCAATTATATTAACCGGATACAGTTCACACAATTCAGAGTTGTGTAACCACCTAAATTCTCCCGTTGACTCTTCCTTTATCAGTCAGAAAATAAATACTTTATTTTCAAAAACCTTAAGACATTGCTCATCCCTTATTGTAAGTGAACATGTTTCGCATCCATAAAAGAACCGTATGGAGGATAATGGTTTTGTAAATTCTAATTTTTAATTTTCAGTACAGGAGAACTAAGTAGTTTTGACAAAGAAAAACAACAAGCATTTCCCGCCTTCAATCTAACCTTAATATCCTCTTCAATTTCGTTTTTTTCTAGTTATCGTAGACCCTAGATATCTAAAATTCTGTAAGAGTTCCAACACATTTATTACCTTTATTTTAATATATTTATAAACTATTTTAAAAAGTATATTTTTGTTGGTACTTTCTATTTTCGTTAATTATTCATCAAATTCAATGGACTGAGCCATCATTTTGACGATCCTTTTGAAGAAATTATACAATAAAAATAATAATATTATTATGGGTTCTCTCACAATGCCGAAATGCAAGAACTGTACCCGGTTAATGTAATTGAGATGATTACGTTGAGGTGTATAAAATGGGCATGTAAAATTGCTGAACTCAGGAACAAAATAGTTCCTAAAAAGTTAGTGTTCGCTGTGCCGACTGGTAAGCGTACAAGGGTTTGACCAAAGCGGTCTAAATATTCCACGCAATACTTTATTTTCTAAAAACTTTAAACATTGCTGATTCCTTAATGTAAGCGGCGACCTTTCGCATCCATAAAGAACCATACGTAGGATATTGGTTTTGTTTATCCTAATTTATAAGTTTCGGGCAAACAGATAAAAGAAATCGATTAGTCATTATTTGGCAAATTAATGACTCGCTAAAACTGAAAAATTTAAGATCATATCAATGCAGGCCTGCACATCTTGCATTCACTATCTAAATACAAACCAAATGAAGTTAGTACATCAGTGAAAGATAATTTAACATATATTTTTCTACGTTATTATACAATTTATAATTCACAGCTTGTATTATATTTTACATAATGTTTTTAAAATTATAAAATAATGTGCAAATGTAATATTTACCATCTGCAGGAATTCTATTGTTGATTCATTAGCATACTCCTCTCCATCAAAAATAATATGATCATCGCATAACAGTGACACGTATCCTCTTTGTTGTTCACTAGAAAAACAAAAGCTTTGTTTTTATTATTATTTATTACGATATTTATAACTGTATAAAAAAGTACATCTAGTAAATTTTTACAAATTTATTTAATGACATGAAACACTTGTTTAGAAACTACCCACTGGTAGCACTCTAATGATATGTCTACATTAGGAGATTACGTGACCTTTTTCTTTTCAGACGCTTCGAAGGGTTTTCAGGAATTGAAAAGGAAGCAAGAGGTAGAAACAAATCTGAACCATAAGGTTATTACGGATGATTTTATATGTGACAAAGTAAGGAGCATTGAGGATTTTACGGAGGACTTAGAATTGTAAGGATTGGATACGAGAGGAATTCGATGGTTTAGTGGAGCCCCATACCTCAACCCATAGCTCAACTCCGTAAGTTCAAATAGGCCTTATTATAGTCATTTATATGATGAGTCTTTTATAATTAATTGGAGGGTTAGAGCGTTTATCTTGTAAGTGTTGAAGTAGTCGGAAACGTCAAGCGGTTTCTTGTCATTTCAGTCTGGTATGAGATAAATAAAAACTTAATATTTAGATATTGTTAAATTGACGTTTAACATTGAATAGATATCTCTCTCTCTCTCTCTCTCTCTCTCTCTCTATATATATATATATATATATATATATATATATATATATATATATATTAGATATTTTATTTATTTTATAAATAGTGGCATAACAGTTGGAACAATATAAACAAGTATCTAAGCTCAGCGCTGTATATTATATCCTTCTATATCGATTTGCTATATACTGGATTCTTGCGGAAGCTAATAATAAGAGTTTAGATGTTCCGTGGCCTAAGTTGTTACTAATTTTCAGAGTGAAAAGTTTAAAACTATGTTAGAATCCATGTTAGAAAACATGGACCTGTTCACAGCAAGTTTTTGTAATACTACTTTCGCTTTTACTGTTTTTAGAAGAGGAGAGTAATAAAATTTCTTAGGAAGAAGGGAGAGTCATGGGCCATCGACATTAAGGAGAACGGGCACCCTTCACCATAGGCAGACCTATGGGGGAGGAGCTTTCGGGCTGAAGCCCCCCCCCCAATATGTTAAAATATAATCATGTTTTATAGAAAGAAATATTAAAAACTATCTCTTAAAGTAATATTGTTCCTGTAACATTTAATAGAACTTCAATAATCACTTAAACACTATTTCATACTGGTAGTTAATTTCTTCCCTTTTTTTTAAAAAAAAATAACTATCGTTTTATATATATATATATATATATATATATATATATATATATATATATATATATATATATATATAACCACATAACACACATAACATCCGTCATGCCTCTTCCCTGTCAACTTTCAAATATCTCCTTACATCCCAAACAGAAGATTTACAACCATAAATTTCATTTTATGAACTGAATTTGCGTGAAGTAAATAGTGGTGCCTACTGTTTAAGTTTTAACATAAAACAGCAATGATCTTTGTCACCTAATTTGACCATTATTTTTACTATTTATTTGTTTTTCTCTTCACCTCAAGTTGTGCTTTTCCTCGGAAGACGAATAAGAGCGCATGCAACACTTCCTGATACACTGCAGGACCTTGAAAGGGCTCTTCAGGAGGAATGGGCTATCCTCCAGCAAAGATACATTTCCCGACTGGTGGAAAGTATGCCGAGGCGTCTTCAAGAAGTATTGAAGAGGAGGAAATACTAAACGATGATGTAATTAATTTCTTTTAGAATAATAATGGTTCGTTTTGGAATCTTGGGAACATTGGACTCTAGAATCATTTCATTGAATTAAGGATTAAGGGTTATTGTCCTCTATATTAACATTCCTAATTGAAAACAAACAAAAAGATTACCTATTTATTCATTAAAAACAATAGACCAATCCAAAGCAGAAATATTTTTAGATGAAAACATGAAAAAATCAAGTGGGTGGAATTGTTTGGCTGTCAGTGTATATATATATATATATATATATATATATATATATATATATATATATATATATATATGAAAAAAAAAAGCTTTCGGATTGAAGCCTCCCCCCAAATTAAAATCTGGATCCGCTAGTGCCCCTAACTGTATAAAAATATGCATTTGACCTTAATAGATGAAATATTTTAAAGAATATCTTACATTACATCATCTGTGTCATTTGAAAAAGCATAGTGAGTAAAATTGAACACTGTCGCTCTTGATTTAACTTCGCTGCAAACTGTGATCGCTGGAAATGGAACGTTCCAGATTGGAGTGGGAGCTTCGTCAAAGGTCACGATGACTGGAGATTCGTTCCACTTGTTCCAAACTTCCAGGATCAGATATAGATTTAAACCCAGGCATATCAAGAATAGCACTAGCCAGGATATTCTGGGAAAAAAATATTAAGATCAAGAAGAAAATAAAATTTAAGTTAAATAATATCAAATTATAAAATATAGTTATTAAAATATTTCAATTGAGTAAATAAAATAATTATCAATACCTTTCTACAATTGGACGATTCTCTTCTCCAAAATATCTGACTCCATGAATAGTTGAACTTTCACAGAATTCCTGGAAGTGGCGTTTCACACTTTGACCGTGAACCAGCTTTGACGTTTTCCTCTCTGGAAAACTGAAGACCAAATTGTATTGGTTTAATAGCAATAAAGGATTCAAGTAAATTAATTTATTACATTTTCATTGGTTCATATTTCACATTTAATATGGTGTATTAGAGTATCAAGTGTCATGGCCGCAACTGCAGTCCAATATTCATATCGTTCTGTCTTTGCTACTTTGTCATCTGGTTATTATCTGAAATCCTTTTCTCAGACTTTGTAAACAGTGAGTTTATAAACAGTTTAACAATTTTACTTTGCAATCAGTGAGGTGAGTGACTTATTATTAACAATTAGCAACACTAACTAGTGTTCGTTTGCTAGAGATAGTTTATGTGACAGATAATTCCCCTCAGCGGGTCTTATCTTTCAAAGTCACGGTCACGGCGCTTCGTATTACTCGTTGCCAAACTTGAGTTCGTACCTCAGACTCATATATACATTTTTTTTTTCTCTGAATTTTATTTTATTTACTTATTGAAAATGTTTCATTTAATAATTGTATATAGATTTGTAAATAGATTAGTTATTAAGTAATTATTTTGTAAATTTTTTTATTAGGGATACTTTTTTTTTTCACTCTTCTCCTTTGTTTATTTATATTTAGAGGTATGGATTCTGATAAGAATATTTCTATTGATGAATCAGATGTAGATACTCCGTTCTTCGAAATTAATGAGACGGATTCTCAGTACTTAACAAGGCGAACTCTCCAAAAGCA